GGGGGGGGGGGGGGGGGGGGGGGGGGGGGGGGGTACTCATGTACACGAATGCAGTGGTCGTTTGACCATTTACTTCGCATCCCTACAACGCCGGGACGGAGCGATATGGTAGCCGGGTGTACATGCCGTAGTCGTTAGACCAATGACGTCGCATGCCGGGGCGAAGCGAAATGATGGGTTTTCGCCGGCCCCGGTTACACGTTTCACGAGGATAAACCAGAAGCTGGTCGTCATTCCTGTGCGTTCGCTGTGCCAAACCATTAATACCATGGATTGATTGCGCATCCTGATAACCAAATGTTTCACATTCCGCGGGCACGACTGTACTTCAAGTACCGCAAACGGCAACACTCAGAAAACAAACGCTTCCCGACGAATGGTTGACGGCCCGTAAAGCCTTCGGGCAGGCCCGAGGAAAAGTGAAAAAATCAAGAAGTTCCCGCCGTTGATTTCTGTTTTCGACTTCGGAGGGATCCCCTTCATGCTACAGGTCGCCGGTCGCGACCTTGTTTGTTGTCGTTGTCTCACATTAAAAACCGTTCCGATCTCTCTACCTGGTACCTTCATCTGTCCGCACTAGTCGAACACTGTGCCGCTCAGAAAAAAGCTCAGACTCGCATGAAACTTCGCGGAAAAATTCGCACCTATTGGACGTCAGCCACCAGAAGTAAACAGACATCTCGAACGGGTATTTCTTCTGTGATCGTATAATATACTTTCTAAAAACACCAGTAGTAGGGATTTGCACCGTGTCCCGCAGCGGTGCTTCGCATGCGTTCACGGCTTCCTCCTTTCCTCCCCTGTGATACGGTACAACTACGTAGCTGAGGGCATGTACACACCTGCAAGTGGCATGCTGGCCGCAGCTGATGTCGTGGCACAAGTCCACCTTGGGCACCTGACACCCGCACACCTTGGCCGGGTCCAAGTCCGCCAGAAAGGCACCGCTGGCATCCTTCACGATGACGTGGCGTGATCCAAGACAACACGCAAAGAAGCCAGTCGGGGGGTTGATGCGACATGAACAACGCGGTGAAAAACTTGCCCTACGCGGACCAGTACGGAGAGAAGAAGGGTATTGGGCAGAGATATCGGAACATTTTTTTATTGCGGAGACGACAACAACAACAACAACAACAACGCGGTCATTGTACGCTGCGACAGGCTTCCGCGTACCAACAGCGACAGCATCACACAATCATGATACGCAAGTATCAGCGGTGCACCCTCTTTACCGTTACACGCAACGGCACCCCTTTGAATGTGAATACACATGGCAGCGTGGAATAAAATGGTGGCGGCGACATCTCATTACTGGCGCGTAGGCGGCCCATGCTTTCTACCCGCCATCATGCCGTGCTTGCACAATAACGGGTAGTCTTTCGTGGTTTTGTACTTTGGAAATTTTGTCGCACGTCCTTTGTGGCAGAGGCAGTTGGTACAACCCGCGACATGCGGTCCCCAACAGAGAAGGGCAATCCCCGGCTTCAAGCAAGCGGTAAAATAGAACTAAGAAAAACCGTGTGCGTGCTGCAAACAAGAGGCAGACACGCCTCCCCGAGGTGATTTGGGTGAGTGCAGCAACGCCACGCACGCTACCTGACCCACAGAGGGGAAAATAATAAAGTGCGGACGAAAAGGTATCCCCATAGAATGCACGTACCCCCCCTCCCCCCCCCCGTCTCACCGTCAAGACCTCTGGCGTCTCCCCCGGGCAGACGTGCCCGTTGCCGACCTCGTTTTCCTTTTGGCAAGCGCAGGTTACCAAGCCGCGGCTGACTCAGGAGAGAGGAAAAAAAAAACGTCCAGCGAGGCGGGCCGGACAGTGAGCAACAAGGGCGAGATGGAGCACAAACATGAACCCATTTTTGTCGTTGACCCAGTAGAGAACTACAGGGCATGTATTGTTGAATGAATCCACCTGTGCAGATGCTTTTCTACTTAGCACCAGCTGGTATCACTGGTAAAGTTCAGTGTACAGGCTTAAACAGACTCAAAAGTAAGCCAAGTTTCCAGCCGATTTCCCCCCACTCACTGAAAAGACTTGAGTGCATCCTTTCCGGCTGTGGTCATATCTCGAACGTGTAGTCTTTCTGTGTTATCATGTTTATTTCAAAATAAGCCCATGGGGTCAATATATGCGGACTGCCTTCGAGAGGATACTATGATAAAATCTATGAAATAGAGAGGGGGGGTTCGTATCCCTACCCCTAACCATACCCCCTACTAAAACCATGCTTAACACCCTAGCTTGAAGGCTATTACAATACTTCCATTATATAATAGCAAAAAATTCAACCGACCGTAATACTTGGTAAAGCATAGCACCGGGGGCACACGGATTGGTGCTAAGTTTCACAGGTTTCAGGCAAGGTGGGTCTGGGTGGCGTACGACCACCCTCCGACGGAGCAGAAAGGGCTAGCCACCCTTTCAGCTATTGGTTATCAAAACAGGACAAAAAAAGCGAGTCTCTTTTCGACAAACTCTCCTCGGGGGCATGTATCGTTGGTGTGGCTGTCATCACCCTGCTATCCTTCTGAGCTCCCCACGTGAACTGCCGAGTATCGTACACATGCATGCTTCCTTCTTTCTTGCCGACACCACCACCAGAAAATTCGTCCCTCGCGAGACTGAACTGACCAGTCAACTCCCAGCAAAACCTGTCGGCGCGTGCACACTCACTCTCACAGAAAGCGTGTTCGCCTTTCATATCCCGCTAGGTAGGCCGCAAGACTGACGTCTTTTCATTGATTACTAGCACGGTCGATACAACTTAAAAAACACACACACACTCGCAGACACACACGGGCCAACCGCCAGCTCAAGATCCGACTACTCCAGGCTGAAGTGGTGCAGACCCTCCTATACGGGTGCGCCTCGTGGAGCCTGGCAGCGGAGCACTACACCAAGCTGAATGGGACCCACCGCCAGTTCCTGACACGGTGTATCGGCTGGAGCAAGCGGAAGCGCTCAGACCGACCCCTGTCCTACGCCCAGGCCCTCATCCAGGCCGGCTGCGAGGAAACCATCGAGGCCACCGTGCGCAAACGGAGGCTGTGTTTTGCGGGCTTCGTTATGCGCATGG